CGCAAATGTGCGGCCACTCGACGTCTAGGCCCAGATGCCGGGAGGCCGCACATTTGCATGCGGCCAGCGTGAAGGGGTTAAACACATTTTAAAATCTGTGCATTTTTACTAGAAAATGAATTAGAACCCCCAAACTTTATCCATTTTCTGGAATCCAGAGGCCCTGGAGATAGCTGTTGCAATCATTTTATATCTCACGATATTTACGCAGCAGTTTATCAAATGCAAATTTTAAGGGAAATGCATCAAAAAAAAATTTTTCCCCATTATATCTTTTATTAAGTTTTCTTTTAAGAAAAAAAATACCTTACAAAACCATCATAAATCTTTTTACATCATACATATAAACTTTATCCCCATACCCACCCCCAACACACCCTTGTCCAATCTCATCTTACCCTCTCTTTCCCCTCCTATTAATCTAGTCGTATATATATATATAGTGGGGATCGAAAGTTTGGGCACCCCAGCTAAAAATTTGTATTAATGTGCATAAAGAAGCCAAGGAAAGATGGAAAAATCTCCAAAAGGCATCAAATTACAGATTAGACTCATTCTTATAATATGTCAACAAAAGTTAGATTTTATTTCCATCATTTACACTTTCAAAATAACAGAAAACAAAAAAATGGCGTCTGCAAAAGTTTGGGCACCCTGCAGAATTTATAGCATGCACAGCCCCCTTTGCCAAGCTGAGACCTGCCAGTGTCATGGATTGTTCTCAATCATCATCTGGGAAGACCAGGTGATGTCAATCTCAAAGGTTTTAAATGCCCAGACTCATCTGACCTTGCCCCAACAATCAGCACCATGGGTTCTTCTAAGCAGTTGTCTAGAAACTGAAACTGAAAATAGTTGACGCTCACAAAGCTGGAGAAGGCTATAGGAAGATAGCAAAGCGTTTTCAGATGTCAATATCCTCTGTTCGGAATGTAATTCAGAAATGGCAGTCATCAGGAACAGTGGAAGTTAAAGCAACATCTGGAAGACCAAGAAAAATATCAGACAGAACAGCTCGCAGGATTGTGAGAAAAACAATTCAAAACCCACATTTGACTGCACAATCCCTCCAGAAAGATCTGGCAGACACTGGAGTTGTGGTACACTATTCCACTATAAAGAGATACTTGTACAAATATGGTCTTCATGGAAGAGTCATCAGAAGAAAACCTCTTCTACGTCCTCACCACAAAAATCATCGTTTGAACTTTGCAAATGAACATATAGGCAAGCCTGATACATTTTGGAAACAAGTTCTGTGGACCGATGAGGTTAACATTGAACTTTTTGGCCGGAATGAGCAAAGGTACGTTTGGAGAAGAAGGGGCACAGAATTTAATGAAAAGAACCTCTGTCCAACTGTTAAGCATGGGGTTGGATCAATCATGCTTTGGGGTTGTGTTGCAGCCAGTGGCACAGGGAACATCTCACGAGTAGAAGGAAAAATGGATTCAATAGAATTTCAGCAAATTTTGGATGGTAACTTGATGCCATCTGTGAAAAAGCTGAAATTAAAGAGAGGATGGCTTCTACAAATGGATAATGATCCTAAACACACCTCGAAATCCACGGGGGATTACATCAAGAGGCGTAAACTGAAGGTTTTGCCATGGCCTTCACAATCTCCTGACCTCAACATCATTGAAAATCTATGGATAGACCTTAAAAGAGCAGTGCGTGACAGACAGCCCAGAAATCTCAAAGAACTGGAAGACTTTTGTAAGGAAGAATGGGCAAAGATACCTCAAACAAGAATTGAAAGACTCTTGGCTGGCTACAAAAAGCATTTACAAGCTGTGATACTTGCCAAAGGGGGCAGTACAAGATATTAACTCTGCAGGGTGCCCAAACTTTTGCAGACGCCATATTTTTGTTTTCTGTTATTTTGAAAGTGTAAATGATGGAAATAAAATCTAACTTTTGTTGACATATTATAAGAATGTCTAATCTGTAATTTGATGCCTTTTGGAGATTTTTCCATCTTTCCTTGGCTTCTTTATGCACATTAATACAAATTTTTAGCTGGGGTGCCCAAACTTTCGATCCCCACTGTATATATATATCTCTCTTTAACCATTTACATTCTCTGGTACAACTATCAGGGGGCCTTTTATTTTTAAGTATTTTTCTGAAGTTCTAAACTCATACCATTTACCCCAAATCTTTCTAAACTTTTCCATTTCATCTTTCTCCATGTAACAAAGTTCCTCCATCCTACCAACATATTCTACTCTATCCAATCCCTCATTGTTGGTGGATCCTGGGCCTTCCAAAACCTAGGTATTAAACCCTTTGCCGCACCAATCAGATGATATAATAAACTGTTTTTATATTGTTTTACCGACAACTCTGTTCTATAGAAGACACACCCACGGATCATTCTGGATAGATGTCCCCCAAATCTCCTGTATATCATGAATTATATCCTGCCAAAATAACTGAATTTTTGGACACTCCCACCATATATGAGCCATTGTCCCTATTGCCCCACATCCTCTCCAACATGAAGGTGATACTACTTCTCGCTGTTTGTGTGCCACACTCGGTGTACAGTACCACCTAGACCAGTGGTTCTCAACCTGTGGGTCGCGACCCCTTTGGAGGTCTAACGACCCTTTTACAGGGGTCCCCTAAGATCATCAGAAAACACATATTTCCGATGTGTAAAGAGCAGCTACTGTGTAGAAAGCAGCTGCTGTGTTGAAAGCAGCTACTCTGTTAAAAGCAGCTACTGTGTTGAAAGCAGCAATATTGGAGGTAAAACGACACTCATGAATTATAATTACTGGGTAAACAAATTTTATGGTTGGGGGTCACCACAACATGAGGAACTGTATGAAAGGGTCACGGCCTTAGGAAGGCTGAGAACCACTGACCTAGACAAACATTTGTAATTCATCTCAGCTATATTCGTGTTGTCAATCCGTGCATTAACTTAAACATTTTCCTCTTCTGGTGATCAAAATTATTTTTATTGCACACAAACACAACATAATACCCAACTTAGTGGTAAATTATAAAAGATGATGTTGCATAAAATAAATACAGTGGATACCCAAAGATTTAAAATTGCACACGCCTGTGAAATGGTGACAAACTACTCTAAAATGGTCTATAGGTGATGCTGCAAAAGCTTCTACGGATTGTCAGTTTTGATTTAATGGCGAGTTATGGCCCTAGAATTATTGCTCTCACTCTGATATTTGTGGTGATACCTCATGTGTGGTGTAATCACTGTTTACATATCACCTACACAACCGTTTGCCTGTATGTGGTGGTGGCGGGCGGGGGGGGGGGGGCGGGGGGGTTGTCATTTTTTATTACTTTTATTTAAATTTATTTTTTTACACTTTATTTCCTTTAAAGTGATTGTAAAGGCTCGAGGTTTTTACAGTCATGCATTCTATGAAAAACCTTCTGTGTGCAGCAGCTCCTCCAGTACTTACCTGGGCCCCATTGTGACCCAGGGAGAGCCTTGGCTGTCTGGCGATTCTCCCTCCTAATTGGCATCAATCACAGGCATTGCACCAACGAGAGGGGGGCGGGGCCAAGCCACGGCTGTGTGTGAATGAAGACACAGGGCAGCAGCTCAGGAGCGAGCCTGTACGGGTGCCCCCAGAGCAAGCCGCTTGCTGTGGGGGCACTTGGCGGGAAGGAGGGGCCAGGAGTGTCGGCGGGGGATCCGAAGAGAGGAGGAAGCTCTGTGCAAAACCATTACACAGAGCAGGTATGAAAAATTTTTTTTTTTAAACATTATTATTATTACATCGAGTTTATATAGCGTCAAAGGGTTTGCTCAGCGCTGTACAATAGAGGGGGGACAATACATGAAACAGTACAGTAACTACAAACAGCACACGAGGGGTTCGAGGGCCCTGCTCTTTTGAGCTTACAATCTAGGAGGGAGGGGTAGTGGTACAGGAGGAAGTGGCTGTGGGGGATGGAGAGGTAAGAGGAATGAAGGAGAACGGGTGTTAGGTGAGGGTGGGGTAGGCTTCCCTGAAGAGATGGGTTTTCAGGGAGCGCCTGAAGGTGGAGAGGGAAGGTGACAGTCTGATGGATTGGGGTAGCGAGTTCCAGAGGATGGGGGAGGACCAACATAAACATAAACATAGTCATTAGTATCATTAACTTTATCACAAGGGGGCCAAACAAGCCCTCTTGTGATAGATTTGGGCAGGTACAGATCCTTTTTCGTGCTTGGTTGTTTCTCTGGCAGGGAATGAGAGCTCTGAAACCATAAGTGAAAAAATCATCCTCTCTTCTGTGTTCATTCATCACAGAGGAGATCGAGAAATTGATGTTCCTCCATCTCTGTGGGAAGCCATCCTAGCAGTTTACTACGGTCCCAGGCTCTCCTTTTCCTTTAGAGGAGGCCGCGGGTGGGGGGGCAGACATCCCCTCCCAACACTGTAAAAGTGATCAGTACCTCAAAAAAGGCAATCATCACCTAAAAAAATAATCTACCAAGATCATAGATGCAGCCTCAGCCATGATCTTGTGATAATCACTTACTGACAGGACATGTATATACAAAAGTAAGCAGGTGGTTAATCAGTTTTTTCAATTACTTTCTAGTTTACATTTCAAAAACAACCTCAATTGATTTCCATTCCAACAGTTAAAGTGTTACTAAACCCACAACAGTAAAATCAATCTGTAAAAGCAGTAAATCATGATTGTCATGCTCACGGTGGAAACTAAGGGGTTAATCCTCCACATTGTGCAAAAAAGACGTTTGATCCTGTCTTCTCTGATCCTCCCCTCCTTCCAGTGTCTCCTAAATATCTCCTGATAGAACAGAGAATCGGGGGCAAGCTGCACATATCTAGTTTGGTGTGTATTGCTACAGTTTTTTTTTTCTTGGGAGAGTGCATGTGATCAGCACAAGGCCAATCAGCACTGTCCTGACAGAGGTCAAGGGTTCTGCATTCTCCTACAGGAGATTGAAAACTCCTCCTACAAGCTGTAACCAGTGCTGTTCTGGACACTGATAGAAGTCACAAGACTGCTATATACTGCTGATGAGAAAAGGTATTTAGCAGTTTATATTTACTAAAGAAATTACATTTCCATGTTGTGTGTACTGTGAGAGACCAGATATAGTGAATGCAGGGTCAGGGGAGACCAGATATAGTGAATGCAGGGTCCGGGGAGACCGGATATAGTGAATGCAGGGTCCGGGGAGACCAGATCTAGTGAATGCAGGGCCTGGGGAGACCAGATATAGCGAATGCAGGGTCCGGGGAGACCAGATATAGTGAATGCAGGGTCCGGGGAGACCAGATATAGTGAATGCAGGGTCCGGGGAGACCAGATATAGTGAATGCAGGGTCCGGGGAGACCGGATATAGTGAATGCAGGGTCCAGGGGAGACCGGATATAGTGAATGCAGGGTCCAGGGGAGAGACCAGATATAGTGAATGCAGGGTCCGGGGAGACCAGATATAGTGAATGCAAGGTCCTGGGTTTAGTAACACTTTAATTCATTCTTTTACATAGAGGAAATGTGGTACTGTCATCTGTGGAATTTGGTGAGAGCGCAAGTTCTATAGGGGAGATCCCATCTTCAAAGTCCTCAAAAAAGAAACAGGATTGAATACATTGGCCCCTATAGAAAAAAGTGGATATTTAGGTTGTGTTGGTCTTTATTTGGTAGAAAGTTGTTGTTTTTTTGTACATGATATTATTTCTTTAGCATATGGTTTCCTATAAAAGAAATGGAAACAGATTAATAGATGTCATGACACATGAGTGACTTGTCTCCCAGGCATTCAAAGTGACTCACATTTGCGTCAAGGAGTGAAATCCCCCAAGATGGGTGTTTCTAGAACAAATGTTCCACATAGGAGACAGATTGATGGCAGTGCTGGGGGCCAGGGATCGGTACAGCTCTGTGATTCACCTAAAATTCAGCCACCTCTAGATCTCAGCTGACTCTGACAGCTTGAATAGTCAGAGGACAAGAAAGGCAACGATGAGACGTACAAAGGCAGAATCCTAAAAAATCTCACCTTACTGCAATCTGATCAGGTGAATGATAAATTCAGTTTTTTTTTCCCCTTTGGGTTGAATTGGATGGACTTGTGTCTTTTTGGAACCAGACGAACTGTGCAACGTTCCCTTAGTTTCATTAACCATTTGCCAACCTACAGGGCGGCTGTGCAGAATCACGTACATAAACGTAATTCTGCGCTTCCTGGTCGCGAGTGCGTGTGCTCCCCGATTCTGCTGTGATTGGCCACAACAGAAGCCAATCAGCGGGTGCTGTCCAATGGATGAGCGCCGGCACCTGCCTATCGTCTAGGAGACTGACAGAACACTGCTTTGCCTAAGAAAAAAAAGGCAGAGCTGTGTCCTTTCAGCGGCAATGTGCTGGATTCTCTTTCCCTGCAAGCAGGGAAAGAGAATCCAGCACATGACCTTGTGAGAACAGCACACACAGTAAATATTACACATAGCTAGGCACGCAGTCAACCCCTTGATCACCCTAGATGTTTACCCATTCCCAGCCAGGGTCATTAGTACAGTGTCAGTGCATATTTTTAGCACTGATCACTCTATTAGTGTCACTGGTTTTCACAAAGTGGCAGTTAGTGTCCGATTGTCCGCCACAATATTGCAGTCCCACTGCAAGTCACTGATCGCTGCCATTACTAGTATAAAAAATAAAATAAAAATTCCAGTATATATACCATGGTTAGTTTTGTAGATGCTAGAACATTTTAACAAACCAATCAATATACAGTTATTGGGCACAATACATATTGGCCTAAATTTATGAAGCAATTTGATTTTTTAATTTTTTTTTTTAACTTTTGTGTGAAATCGGCGTCAAGGGGTTAAGGTGGTTCTAAAGGTTGAAGGTTTTTTTTTACTTTTATGCATGCTATGCATGAAGGTAAAAAACCTTCAGTATGCAGCTCCCCAAGCAGCCCCTCTAAAACAGATCACGAATCCAGTGATAAGCACAAGAGTGGCTGATCCCCTGGGTCTCTATCTCCTCATTGGCTGAGAGACAGCAGGAGACATTGCCTCCGGCTGCTGTCAATCATAGCCAATGATGAGGAACTAGGGGCATGGACGAGCCCCGTTCTGTCTTAGGGGCGCACAGCGCTGGGCTCGGGAATGAGCACGCACTACTGCTCCCAGAGCAAGCCACTTGTTATGGGGGCACTGGAGAAGAGGAGGAGCCAGAAGCGCTGGTGGGGTACCCAACAGAAGTAGGATCAGTGCTGCTCAGGGCAAAGCCATTGCACAGAGCAGGTAAATATATTATTATATATTTTTTATTTAACCTTTAATATCACTTTAAGTAAGGGCAGATTATTCATATAGCATTTACTTCCTCTAATCCATCTGCCCTTAGCTCAGGCATGTATGCCGGAAGGTATGCTTAGCTGAAATAAACCCTCCCCCCTCCTGAAGACTGCTGGTATGTATGACTAGGCATTTTGGCATAGGCCTGGAAACCAGGAAGTAACTAAAGAAATGTAAAAAAAAAAGAAGACAAGTAAATATAATATACCTTCCTATGTATTTACTAATGCTAGCAGCCGAAGGATTAAAAATGGTAAATGTTGATTGAGAGCGTGAAGCTCCACTTTATTACAAGAGTGATAGTCAGATGGCCACGAGCCTTTGGCCATTTAGTGTGTAGAAGTGGGATAATCTCATGTCATCAACCTTTCTTGCTGGCTGCTGTTGGATTTCTATAGTCGGGAATGAACTGTGAGAACTCACCAGCACCGTGTAGATGTGTAGGCAGCGGTTATACCGGAGAGAAGTCTACCAGGTCCTGTGTGCCCGGTGCCTGAAAGTCAGAAAGGACAGCCATTACAGGAGAACAACAAGTAAAGACATTATAATGTATACGCAGTATAGAAAACTAAGCTGAAAGGAGATTTATCACACAGCACAATCAGTTGTAATCAGTCTAGAATCATTGTAGGCAGCAGGGGGGGGGGGACAAGGCTGAGCTGCACTGTGTGTATCTATAGACACACACACAGTCCGGCTGAGGATTAAGGCCACATGAGCAAGCCACCTGCTATGGGGGGGGCTTGAAGGAAGGCAGGAGAATCCAAGAGCAATGGTGGGGAGACCACAGAAAAGGAGGTTTGGGGCCACTTTGTGCAAAAGCATTGCAGAGAGCAGGTAAGCATACATGGATTGTTATTTAACCCCTTGGCACCGGCGCCTCCCGGCCCTTTAAGGGTTTCACAAGCTGGGAGGTGGGGTGGTGTTTTAGGGTCATGTGACTGCCGTGATTCGCTGTCACGGCGGTCACATCATCCGAAATGATCCCGGTCAACAGAGGAGATCGGGACCTTTCCGTGAGTGCCGGACATGTGTGCTGGGAGCGCACACGGCGTGCGCTCTCAGCACACGTTTTTCTTAATTGCACGCAAATGTGCAGCCGCTCGGCATCAAGGCCCAGACGCCGGGAGGCTGCACATTTGCATGCGGCCGGCGTGAAGAGGTTAAAAATAAAAGCTTTACAAATCACTTTAAGATACAGTAATAAAAATATGATAAATGTTCTATTTTTGTTCAGGACAAAATACTTTCTTTTGGTGATTTTGTCAGCAAAAATGAAAAATTTTAATGCAATCCATTAAAAAAAAAAAACCACTAACAAAATTAAAAAGATTAAAATAAATCACTTTTTAGTCAGTGTTAGCTAGAAAAAGATATATGTATACATTTTATTCTATAATTTGTCCCATATAAAATGACATTAGAATTATGATCCAGTTACAAAAAAGATACAAACAACATTTTTTTTTCAATTTTGTTTTTTTTTAATGCGATACAAAAATGGTTAAAGCTGAAATCCAATGTAAGCAATTATTGTATAAATCCATTCATCATGTTTCTTCCAGATCTGCACAGTAATCCAGTGTGAGAATTTACCTCTGTGCAGGAGCTTCCTATATTAACAACTTCCAGACCGGACACTTTTACCCCCTTCCTGACCAGGGCAATTTTCAGCTTTCAGCGCTATCACACTTTGAATGACAATTGCGCAGTCATGCAACACTGTACTCATATGAATTTTTTACCATTTTTTGAGACATATAAAGCTTTATTTTGGTGGTATTTATTCACCGCTGGGATTTTTATTTTTTTTGCTATGTAAATGAAAGAGTCCAAAAAAAATTTTTAAAAGTTTTTTTTTATAAAATTTTGCAAATAAATAATATTTCATCATAAATCTTTTCGAAAATTTATTCCGTTATCTTTTTAGTAAAAAAAAAAGCCAAATTAGTTTAGAACCAAAAATTATAATTTTTAAACTTTTTTTTTTACATTTTTTTTTTTTTTTTTTATATTATTTTTTATTTAGTTATTTTTTTTACATACTGTCACCCTAGCAGTACAGTGTCACCATGGTGACACTGTACTACTTGTGGGGGGTGATGAAGATTTTTTAGGATGTAAAAGCAATAATTTCTCTCTCTCTCTGTGTGCATTCTTGCACTCATTGAGAAGTACTGAGTGAGCTGTGATTGGTCACAGCTTGTCACATGGTACAAGGCTGTTGTGAATAGCCTTGTACCATGTGACCTCTGTGATCATTCACAGATTTCACACGTAGTAAGCAATGATGTCACAAGTGACATCTAGCTTACTACTTTGCATGTGATCACTGATTGGCCAATCAGTGATCACATGATCGGAACCTCGTACAGAGATCCCGCCCGACGATCGGTGTTTCACTGTGTCCGGAGGACACAGCGGGCATCGGATCGTGGTGCTGCGCGCTCCGAGGGAGCGCGCACAAGCAGGGTGCGGGGAGGCCGTTTATAAACGGCCACTCGACTCTGTACTGCCACCGTCCGGCCATTTATATGCAACGGCCGGTCGGGAAGTGGTTAAAGACCGCTCATTGTGCTCTCTCCTCTTGTGCTGGGTGGCTGGTCTTGTCTCCGCCCCCTCCTGTAGTTTTCAGCAGGCAGCCAGTAGTGGGTGGGGTCTTCTGGGTCTCATCACAGGCTATGTCCAGAGCAGTGATGATGTCACAGCTACTTTTACAAAGTATTATCTGGGTTTATAAAAGCATTTAGTGGACATAAAGTGGATTTATATCCTTTGTGGCTATTTATGAATACATTTAAATGAAAGTGTTCCGTGCCTGGAGTTCAGCTTTACCCGCTTCCCAACCACCCTATAGCAGAAATACTGCTACAAGCCAGCACGGGTGCGCAAAATCACGTATATATATGTGATTTTGCATTTTCTGGTAGGGGGTACACACCCTACCTGCGCCGCCACTCACGGCTGTCAATCACTGGGTCCTGGCCCTTGATTACCGAGGATCTCTGACGGGGAGGAGAACTGTTTTGCTTACTAACAGTTCTCCTCCCTGTCAGCTCGGGCGGCACACTGCTTTGGATGGCTGTGCACGGAGTTGTCGGTGGGGTTAGTACTGATTGGGGTAAACTACTGAGTTAATAGGAAGGGTTAAATAGGAACTTTTTTTTTTTTAAAGTGACATGTGCAGATCAAAAGGTCATCCCTTTGACCTGCAGATAATAAAACTGACAAAATAATAAAAATGTTATT